AAGTTAGGGAGGGTGCTGCTTACCACCGCCTGCCAGCTTCCTCTCCCCTTATTTCCTTACTTTCCCTGTATTTAAGACAGCCCCCAGGTCCTAGGCTTGCACCTCTGCCAAACACATCTCTTCTCCGAGCCCACGGGCAATGCCTGCCTGTGAGCCTGCTGCAGGTTCTCGTGAGCACAGCCCCGTCCGGGCCACGTGGGAGAAACAGCTTGGTGCATTGGCAGATACCTATGACCTCAACCCAGGGCACGACCCTTCTGAGCCTCATTATCAAGCTGTAGCTGAGGGAAGTGGTGTGACCCCACAGAGTCCTGAGGATGAGGGGCCAAGGGCGGGAAGTGCTGGACACAGAACAGGTGGTCAATCTCCAACCCCTCTGCCCAAGCCAGCACCGCCCACTGGCTCCCTGCTTGGCCGTTCCTCTTAGCACTCCCTGCGGACCCCAGAGTCCATCTGAGTCTTCCTTGTCCCTGTCATTGAACTGTATGACCCACAGGGCAAGGACTCGGCCCCGCTCACCACTGTCCCTTGGCACATGGACAAGGCCTGGCTCAGTGCACGCACATGGGCAGGAGGATTCGTGCAAGTGACCACAGAACTACATAGCCAGCTTACTTGATAGGTAGAGACGCAAAGACCCAGGGGGCAAAAAGACGAGAATAACAGGGAAAATCAGCAGCAGAAAAGCAGAGCAGGCTAATCCCCGTTTCATTCAACAGTGTGGAAGGGAAGACACCAAAGTATTCACAGAGCTCTCAGTGGTGGGATGACGGTGATGCGTGTGTGTGTGTGTGTGTGTGTGTGTGTGTGTGTGTGTCTGTGGGCGCGCGCGCGCACGCGAGCGCACGCGCACTCATATTTATATAAGGCAGACATCAAATTTTATATGTAAGCTGGGTGTGGTGGTGCATGCCTGGACTCTCAGGCATCTCACCATGTTCTCTCACCATGCTGTCTAGGTGGAACTCAAACTTTTGATCCTCCTGCCTCAGCCTCCTGAATATGGTATTGGAAATACAGACACACACCGGCTCACCAGCAGGGACAACGGTGATTTCTATCATTATGTTCTTGCTCTTTGGCTAATGATCTTTCAGTAAGGTCATGTGTTTACTTGTGTAAGTAGGAAAAACAAGGATGAAAGAAAACCAAATGAGACAGAAAACAAAGCCAGAGCTGTGCAAAGAAGAAACGCCAGTGTGCCTCTCTGTGTGTGCTGCACCTGCCTGGAAGGGGATCTGAGAGCTCAGCAGTGGGGCACCGAAGAGCATGGCCTGCACCTGCCCTGGGCCTCAGCTCATCCGACAACCCCTAGCACTTCCCTAAGGCAGCCGTACTCCACACAGCTTCCTGCCTGCTGTCTGGAGGAGGATGGATTCCTCACCTGCACAACTGAAAGCGATTTCAGTTTCCCCTCTGGGTATGGAAACAGCCCCCTGCTTTTAGCTGACTGGGGCTGCTCTGGTCACAACTCCTGGGGGCTGGGTCTTAGGAGGAGGTCTGACCCTCACCATCCTGCACTCTGAGGACACCAACGATGATTGCTGCATTATGCCAGACATGGAGAAGAATCTTCTTCCTTTGTGTGACTGTTACTGGATTGTTCTGTGTTGTGCTGGGGATGGAGCCCAGGACCTTGCACGTACAGGGCTCCACAATTCGGCTCCACCCCGGCCCCTGCTCTGGGTTCCACATGGCCTCATACCTTCCGTGGAGAAGGACTCACTTCCCAGTGTACTCATCTGACACAGCTGGACTAATTGCCCAATCTGGTCCAGCCCTCAGAAAAACCCACTGCCCAATCTCTGTCTGACCAAAGCAAGGTGAGAGCAGGTGCTCTCTTTGTCTTACCACTGTCTCCTGGGTGTACAGTGTCAAAAGAAAAAAGCCAGGCCAAAGTACAAGCACTCTGGAAGGCTGAGGCAGAAAGATACCTAGGTTGAACTCAGCCTGGGCAATTTTAGCGACTTACTAAGATCCTGTCCCAAAATTAAAAATTTTAAAAGGCCAGGGATGTAGCACAGCACAAAGTCACTGGCTCAATCCCCAGTACCACAAAAAAAGGGACTTATCTCACCCCAAGTTTTAGCTGTAAGGCTTTGCACAACACTAACACCATTCACCTGGTTCCCGGTCACTTTAGAATTGGGTTCATTTTCCACATAACTTGCATTAGTGATGTGCAAACACCCAAGTGACCTCTGCTGGCATTTGTGGCCAGAGTCGCAGAACAACACCATCTTCAAAGCCAAGCTGTGCTGGGACGGGGCCTCCTGCCCACCCCGAGGATGGCCCTGCTTTGTCGGCACTGTATGGGAAAGAAGCTGCTAATTCAAGGATGTGTATTTTTAGTTCCAACTCCAGCTGAAGAATCAAAGGCTTCTGGTCCTTGGCCCCTCCTCGCTGCTGCAGATAAATAATCTGGCGAGCAGTGTGATCTCTTGTTTTGCCACGAGCCCTGCTGCAAACAGATAGATAGCAGTGCTGCCTGTGAGGCTGAGGAGTGCTCGCGGTGCTGGGGTGCTGGGGTGCTGTAGGTCGGCAGGTGGGAGCCCGAGGCGGAGGCGGGATGCCACTTCACCTGCCAGAGGGTGCAAGGAAGGGCTGCACTTTGATCTCCAGCTGCAGCACAGGAGAAGCTGGCCATTCTCAGAGGCCACGCTAACCTCAGCCCCAGCTGGGGTCCCAGAGCACCCTTGGGCAATGCTTGCCCCTGCCCTAGCTTTCATGAATATTAGTTTTTTCTCACTCACCAAGTGCTTTGCTCTCCCTGTTTTTCTTCAGGAGCAGACTCCTCATTCTTTGCTCTAGCCACACTCACCTCTCTGATCTCCATGGGCCTTGTCCTCCCTTATACCACAGGACCTTTGCACAAGCTGCCCCTCAGCCTATGGTGCTTGCTTTTCCTTTCAGATATATAACTCAGATGAAGCATCCTTTTCTGCAGCAAGCCTTCCCACAGGCTCTGCCTTGGCCCCCTCCCCTACCCCATGTGCCCACAGCGCCATGCACCCTGCCTGACACTTCTCATTGCCACATCCAGATGACTGATGTGTCATTTCCTCAACTGCTTACAGCCACCTACTATGAGTGGCATTTGTGTGTGATTCTTCTCCTACTGTCCATCTCCCCATGGGTCACAAGGAGACCAGGAATGCTGGTGTTTTGCTCACCCCCAGAGCCTGGCTTACAGAACAGGGCTCCACACATATTTGGTGAATGGCTGAATCCTTATTAAATCACCTGACATACTCACACATGCGATTTTAAACACCAAATCAAGGGGGGATTTAGCTCAGCAGCACAGCGCCTGCCTGGCAGGCGCAAGGTCGAGAGTTCAATTCCTGGTACCGGGGGAAAAAAAAAAAAATCAAACCTAGGAGGTCTATCAGGTGCATCACAGCCTGTGCTTGCCTGACGGCTGTGGGCAGTGTTGGGATCAAATCCAGCAGCCTGTCCTAGGAAAGGATGGGCCAAGGGGGCTGTTTGCACGGTTCTGGGCCTTGCTTTTCGCGGTATAGGTGAGCGTGATGGTGAAGAGTGAGTGGGTAAGAAGAGAGTGACTGGATGGTGATAGGAAGAGAAGGGCCATGCTGGCATGGTGGCACATGCCTGTAATCCCAGCACTCAGGAGGCTGAGGCAGGAGCACTGCCGAAAGTTCAAGGCCAGCCTGGGCTACATATTGAGTTTAGGGGCAGCCTGAACTATACAGTGAGACCCTGTCTCAAACCCTCCCCCCAAAAGAAAGAAAGTCCACAAATTACTCCTCAGCAGTCATCAGAGGAGACTGCACAGCAGGGTTGAGATGTTTTAACTATTAACAAAAGCAACACCCTGGTGACTGGCAGATCTGCAGCGCAAACAATGTGGTCCTTGTGGGTTGGAAACCCAACCCCAACACTGTTTCCCCAGCGAAATGACTTTTGATGCAACCATCACAGGACAGGCACTCAGGCGAGAAGTCCAGGGAGACACAGACACAAACAGCTCTGGCTCCAGGAGCAAAGCTGACTTCACTCAGCCTCTAGGGGCTGGCCATGGTATGGACACTGGAGGGCACCGCCTCACCCGCTCAAGCCGACCAGTCTAAATCCTCCAAGGCAGTAACACAGGTCTGGGGGCGACCCAAACACATTCTGCCACATCACCATGGTGCCAGCCTTGAGCCGTCACCCCCATGCACACACGCTCACGTCGTCAAGGCGACCAGTGGCACCGGACAGTACGGTGTGCTAGCTGTCAGACTGGAGTTCTGCCCTGTCTTTCCAGGGGGAAGGGCAGCTGTTCCCCTAGTTAGGCCTGAGGGCCTGCTGGGGTCAGATGTCTCCAGAAATGAGAGCACTTGAAACCAGAGGTGAGAATTATCAGCGTGGTCTCAGGCCGTGGCAGCGAGAGGGGGTGGCACGTTCCCGGCCCCTCCCCGCCGGCCTAGAGAGGTTAGAAGGTGCACCGTGCGGAGGGCAGCAGGAGGGAGTTTCTTTTCATTGCCTGTTTCCATGGTGCCTGGCAGCCCTTGGCAAGCCACAGCTGGGAGCCTCAGACAGCCAGGGGCCCCAGGGCCTTATCTGGCCTGGGCTGCCCTCCAAGGCCCGTGCTCCTGGCCCGTCTGGGCCCCAAGAGTGACAGAGGCCACAGGCGGGTGGCCAGGGCTTCTCTCTCAACACCTCCCTGGGGAAAGGAGGCCAGTGACCCAGCAGACAACGGGCAGAGCAGAATCCAGATCTTACCTACCCCCTGCCCAACCTTGGCGACAGCTCTGGGAAGCCTGCACTTCGGGGTCTCATGGAGCCCCAGCAGAACCGCCTGCCCAGCAGACCCTCTGAGGAGGTGTGCATTCCTCCCTTCCCTCTCCGCCTGGCTGCACGCCCAGATGACCAGATAAGGCCTCTTTGATTGCCAGTGTGTTTACACAGGCCCAGCCCCACACCGGGGGAGGCCTCGGCCACAGGCAGGAGAGTGAGGACGCCTCCAGGTGGGCGAGGGGGGTCGGCAGCCTTACCTGCTCTTGGGAATTCATCACTCGCAGCTTCATCTGCTTCAAGTACGTGGAGGTGAGGGGCATGTTGTAATCAATGATCCCGGAGACCAGAGGAGATGGAGGCTCATTTTCTGGCAGGAAGAACAAAATGGAACCCTTTCAGTCTGTGCTGGGGCCTGTCACCTGCGTGCAGAGTTCAACCCAGAGGAAGCGACCCTTGGGCAGGAGCAGGCCAGAGAACACCGGCTGGGGCCTGTCCACCACAGCTGGCCTACAGTGGGCTGACTGGTGTTGAACACACTTGCCAGTTGGTGGCATCGGGGGTGGGCGAGGGGGCAGTGTTTCATATTGACATTTCACATGTTAAAAGACGTGAAATTTGGCTCCACTGAAAAATGGAAGGTGTGGCCGCACAGGGCTCCCACGGTGGATGGCAGCAGCCATCTCCTCCAGACAGGGTGTGTGCGCTGTTTGCCACTCCCGCACAGCCCTTGTCTTCTGGCAAGCCCTTGTTCAGTTAGGATACCTACTAGGCCCTTGAAGGCATTCAAGCTTCCAACTCTGGTCTAAGTCAGCTGTCTGCCCGGGGCCCACCTGCCACGCACCCCATCCCAGCCAAGGCCCCACACCAGCCCTCCGGTCCCATGTGGCTCACAGGTCCGAGCCAGGCCCCTGGCACCCCCGCCCTCCCAAACGCGGGTTCCTCCTTAACCACACGCAGAGGGGCGCGTTCCTCCCATGTGCTGCTTTGCTGCCCAGAAGATCAAAGCAATGCATGTTCTTTTTGTAGAGAATCTGCAAAGTGCAGAGAGATGTAAAGAAAAGTTTAAAAAGCCATAATTGTACCAGCAGCTTGGCATATGCTTCTGTTTATTTTTTCCCTTTCCATATTTCTTCTTTGCATATTTGATATCACAATATATACAAAGAATTATAGTCTGCTTAAAGAAAAGAGTTGTGAGTTTTGGGGGATTGTTATGTTTAACATTTTGTCATGGGTGTTTGTTACCATCATAACTCTTGTTTTGCTTTGCAGATATAACTTTTAGAGCTGCATAATATTTTACCATAATTCACTTAAGCCATTCTTTTATGATTGGCTATTTGGGTGGTTTCCTATTGGGGCTGTTATAAACATCACTGCAGCAAACAGCTCTGTATACAAATATTGACCTACATTTCTGATTTTTTTCTTTCTAGAACTGATTCCAAGAAATAGAACTCATGGATCAGAAGGTAGGAATATTTGATAACTCCTAAAATCTCTGGACAAGGTACTGGGGGAACAGTCGGGAGTAGCTGCTGTCTAGCTTTCTCCTGCCTCCAATGACCAACCTCAGGCCAGGTTCGTATCACCCAGGCCTCTGAGCAAAAGATCTTGCTCCACTAACAGGCTGGGATCTGAGAAGTGTGAGGGGAAGTAATAATGATTTTCTGATTAGCCAAAGCCTGCCTTCGTCTGTCACCACCATGTCCAAGAGACAGGGCCAGGGGAAGTAAATGCAGTCTATCCTAGAATGACTTGCTATATCTGCACCCCCAAGCCAGGATTCAAAACAAAGAAGCCCCTGCAACCATGAACATCAGGCGAAAGAGGCCAACACAGGAGGACAGACACCATACAATTCTGCGAGTGTGAAATACCTCAAGTGGGCATAGTCACAAAATGAAAGTGGGCTACAGGTTACCTGGCAGTGGGAAGGCCACATTATTCTAAAAAGATTCAGAATTTTCTGTTTGGGGTGATGAAAAACTTGTGAAATAGGCAGTGGCAATTAATGTCTTTAAATGGTACAATTAAACAGTCAAATGGGAAAGTTTACGTTTTAAATATTTTACCACAAAAAAAGAAGAAAAGCCCAGCAAACATGGAGGGACAGAGAGGACAAGGGGAAACCCAGCTTAGCCAGGGTTGGGACAGCCCTGCAGACAGCAAGACTCCAGGTCAGATGGATCCCAGGACCAGGGCTCCGCCAAGCACATTTATGGTTGTTATCAAGTTTTTTTTTGTTGTTTTTTGTTTTTTTTTTTTGGTTTTTCTCCGGTGCCGGGAACCGAACTCATGACCTTGCGCTTGCCAGGCAGGCGCTTTTGCCGCTGAGCTAAATCCCCAGCCCCTGAGCTAAATCCCCAGCCCCGCAGAAGTCTGTCTTGATTTTTAGCTATGTTGTCACACACAAAGAGTGTTTCATTTTTTCGTTCTTTATGGGAAGAAGTGTCACTTCACAGGTCTCAGAAACTGGCTTTGAGTGGCTCCCCCCCCACACACCTTTTTAAAGAGCTCCCTCCTGATTTGGGGACAGGAAGTCACTGGCACAGATAGCTGGTGTGTAAGGAAAATAAGATGCATTTTGTGCCTCTCTCTGGCCAAGCAACCATTATCCTAGACTTAAAGTCTTCAGTCCCAGGGGTCATTTAGGCCTGATTCCCCCAAACTGATTGGCTGGGAAGCAACAAACATTCCAGGGACTTCCCCGAGGTGGGGTCGCTGAAGGAGCTGGGCTTCCTGTCTGCAGACTGTAGATCTTCAGGCTGAGAACCACTGCTTCTGTTTTATTTCCTCAAAGATGAGGAGCTTGTCTAGTGAGAAGTCACTGAACAACAAGGTACCTGTGGACGTCCACAGGGGCAGGAAGCCGGCTGTGTTCTTTCCCTGGTGCTCACCCATGTCCTGGCTGAAATGCCATGATTGCTTAGGAGAAAGTACTGTTCATAACGTCAGTTACAGGCTGGGCCTGGTGGCACACATCTGCGACCCTGGGACCCCAACGGCTGAGGCACAAGGATGGCACATTTGAGCCCAGTCTAAGCTATATAGTGAGGCACCATCTCACAAATTAATTAATTAATTAATTAATAATAAAATAAAGTCAGTTATAGTTGGGCTTAGGAAAATAAAACAAAACAAAGCTTAGTGGCCAGGATGGCACTCCTGGGAGGAAGGAGGAGTGGTTGCCACAGGTCTGTCCCCTCTCCAGATTTCCACAGAGCAGAAGCCACTTCCAGGGCCAGGAAGAGGAGGGCAGGATGCCTAGTCCTGGGCAAACACACAAACCCACCAGAGAACACCTTTTTGGTGTGGCACCTTGTGGGCCTGGGGACATTCCACATGAGGACATGAGCCACGGAGCTGGCAGTGGGAGGTCACAGCGTGGCCACCACAAGAGGTTTTCAGCAGTGGGAGCCCCACCATCCCTAAATCTCATTAGTAGGGAGGAGAAGACCTGAAGCCAGAGGCTCACAGGTGACCCGCACCAGGACAAAAGCGCCCAGGTGGACGACCAGCAAGGAAGAGGGGTTGTGGGGCTCACTGAGGAGGTGGCAGCCACGCCTGAGCCTATACACAGTGGCACCGCCCCAGTGGGCAGTCACCATGGAGGGGGCCAAGCTGGAACCCAGGAGGGTCATGGAGGCTAAATAATCCAGCAGGTCGCTGGGAACAGAGGCGGAGGAGGTGCCCCAAGGTTTCAACACCTCCTGGCCAAGGAAAATTGAAACCAACCCAAGTGCTGGACCTAGTTTTCCATGGCCTTGAAAATAATCAGTGATGTGGGGCTCTGCCCAAGCCAAGGCCACTGCCAACCTCCACAGCTGGCAGCACTAGCACCCATCGGTCACAAAGGCTTCAGCAGGGGGGCAGTGGCCCTTACATCCTCCAGGCAGGACAGAAGGTGGAGTTTCTCAAGCTCTCACCTTCTGAACCGAAGAGCTCCTTCTCCTGGCATGGCAGGGGCTCTGGGCGCCCACGGCAAGGTGTGGGTGACTGTGGGAGGCAGGGGTGCAAGAAGGACCTGACACAGGGAGGTCAGGACAGCAGCTGGCCTGGTGCATGCGGCTCAGACTTGGAAACTGCTCCCAGGCCTGCGGCCAGTTCAGGAGGGGTGGGACAGTCTCTTCCAGGGGAGACAAATGGGCGAGCCAGTCCTCACTTCAGGAGTGCCGCGGTCTGCATTTGGTGGGGTAGGAGGGAAATAGAATGTGGCTTGGCCTGGGTCAGGAACCAGAGAGGGCAAGCAGGATGTGACAGTCATCAGAGCTTGGAGGAGGGAGGGCCGAGACCATGGGACAGCTTGAGAAAGCTTCGTGAAGATCAAAAGGCCTGTGTTCGATCTCCCAGTAAAGGAGCATTGACAAAGTACTTCCTGTGGACCCTTTTGCTTGAGGCTCCCAAGAACCTCGTGAGGTGGGTGCTGGTGTCAGTACCCCCATCCTACAGATGAGACAACCCTGCACAGAGGTGCCACGCAACCTTCCCACAGTCACACGGGGAGCGTGAGAATTGAGCGAGAACAGGCCAGCGTGTGGGGCTAGATAGGACAGACTCTGCAAGGGCAAAGGAATAGGCTGAAAGGGGCTGGTGAGGAAGGACAAGAAGAGGCATCTGGAGGGCCCAGGCATGTGGGGCCTTGGGGACCCCACAGGTGCATCTGGACCCCAATCGCCAAGGAGCCATCACCTGCATGGACGGCTCATTCCCCGAGGAGGCAGAACCACCGTGTCCATTGCCAACTCGGGGTTTACAACCATGCAACACCAAGTTGTTACACAGGAAGGCTGAAATGTGCCCACGCAGTCCCTCTCCTGGGCAGGGGCTGGTCTGAGGCACTCCTGTCCTCCACCCAGGAAGAGGGGTGTGCAGCCAAGGGGCCCTGGAATTTCCACCCTAGGCCTTCCAGGTGCTGCTGGCTCCTTTGTTTATGCTCCTGGCTTTGTCTATGCGGGGTGTGTAGGTGGGTGATAGAGCTGTCCAGGCCCCTACACTGCTGGGGACAAACTGCTGAGCCAGGGAGGCCATTCAGCTTCCTTTCCTTCTAACATGAGGTCAGGAAGCAAGGCACTCTCCCTGCCTCCCTCAAGAAGCCTCCATCCTGTCCCCTGCCATGCCTCCCCTCTTCCTGGGACAGGAACAAGGGGCCTGACTCGGGAGGGGGGCGGGGGGCCTGGGCGCAGGCGTGGCAGGGGTGCCTGAGGAAGCAGGAGTAGCTGCTGTGCCAGCGGCCACCATGGCAGACAGGGATGGAAGCTCAGGCCCTCACTGGGGCAGGAAACGGGAGGGAACACCTGCCAGCTGGCAAGGTCAGTCCAGGAGGCTGACGCCTCTGGCCATGCAGCAGACAGGGGAGCCTTTCAGACCCTGAAGCTTACCACAGGCAGCTGCCAGAAACCAAACCCTTCCCTTCTATGACGTGTCCAGGATGTGCTCACCCGGGCAGGTGTGCGCATCATGGCGCCCACCTTGGTGGAGGCTGGTTGCGTCTCTCTCGGTGGCGTCACCTGGGCACTGGCAGTGTTGTGTTGGGGCACCATGCACAACAACACGGGTAGAAACAGGCAGAGGGAGCCAGGCACCCTACTTAATGGCTCATTTCAGTCCCCTGCATCCTCACAAGAGGAAGGTGTTCTGTTCACTTTGAAGATGTGAATCTGAAGATTTGAAGAATGAATTCTCCTGCCTCCATCTCTACCTCCTAGGAGAGCTGGCTTGAGTGACTTCACCCAGCACTTCTCTGTCAATAGCTGTTATGATCAGCAGGTGCTCAGAGAGTTTCCCTAACCTGCCTAGGGACACACAGCAGGGGACAGGCTGCACAGCCAGGCCTGCCTGATCCCAAGCCCACACTCCTTCACGGGCCACATGGTCTCCTCCCCCAACATCTTGCCCTGTGAATGGGGAAGTCTGGTATTTGGGACCCCAAAATGGTAGTGCCCTGAAAACAGGCAGGGATGTCTTCTATCCTGCCAGAGCAAGCCACTGGAAGAGGCTCAGCACAGAGCCCACTGAGCTGGTTTATATTCTAGGCAGCTCCTGGCTGTGAGCTCCCTCCCTCCCTCCTCCTCCTCTTCCCTGGGTGTGGGGGCGCAGTGGTGGCAGCCAGAGAGAAAGGAAGCAGTCTGCTGCTGTGATCAGCGCAGCCATGGGAGACCTTGCAGCCTTCCGTGAGGAGCTGCGGGGAGGTAAAGAGCACCCTCGCTGTCAGGCATGCAGAGCAAGGGAGTGGACTGGAGCCTGAAGTCACCCAGGGCAGCTCACAGGCGCAGCCCCTCCTGGCCCTGTCTCAGTTCCTCTAGGCAGCGTTAGGCTGGCTCCGCCAGTTGCTATGGAAACTGGACAGGAACAGGAGGGGGCAGGCAATGGGGCAGGCAGGATCCAGGCAGGCACAACCAGGGCACATGACCCTGGGGCCTAAACCCCGCAGGATAGGCAGCGAGGCAGAGAAAGTGCTCCCAGCCCTCTTGCCATATTGGCCCAGAGTTGCAGTCTCTCAGCCAGGCCCAGGCCACACAGGCAGCATTCTCAGAATCGCTCAGACATCCCACCTCATCACGTGACCCCCACAGCCACAGCCATGCGTCCCACTGGGCAGCCCCATGCAGGCATGCGGACTACCTCTCAAACCTCAGCAGCCCTCTGAGGGGGCTGTTGTTAACTCCATCCCAGAGGAGAAACTCAGGCTCACAGAGACACTGTCTCTTGGCCAAGACTCACAGCAGTGAGGTGTAGTCGGTATCCACACAGCACTGCCTTGGAGTCCTGTGCTGACACCAGAACCAGAGCAATGAGGTCTGGAAGCCGGCCGATGTGCCCAGATGAGGCAGCCATGGCCTGGCGGCCTCTGGATTTGGTGAGTCAGCCGATGTCAGAAATTGCTTACATGCGTCAGGGGCCATGACAATGAGAGGAAAGCACCACCGATGGCCATGTTCTGAGGCCGAGGTCATTGCCTGCTCAGCTCTGTGGCTGACTTTTCCTGGCCCAGTCTGTGGGTGCCACCTGAGCACCACCCTGATGAGCAGCACCCCCGCCATTCCCACTCTGTCCCCATCCTCAGGCAGAACTCCTGAACTTCAGCGGCTCCTGCTGGCCTCATGCTCAGGAGCTGGCACAGGGCACTGGGGAGGGCTCGAAACGCTTCCCCAGAGCACAGTGATAACCATACCAGCCCATCGCCTGGAGCCCCAGCCACCTGTGGGCAGATGGGGGCACAGCGCCAAAGTGAGGCCCTGCTGGTCTTGCTGATCAGGACCGAGCAGGCAGCACGGACATTGATCCCAGGGGCCGACTTCGGCAGCTCTCAGGTGGTCCGCACATACCCATGGGTCTGCTGACCTGGGACACCCAGGAGGCTCATTGCCAAAGGCAGGAGGGCACACAAATCCAAGGGTGCCCTGCTGCCCTCGGGGAGCTGAGGCCAGACCCGCAGCCACCCGTGTGGAAACAGAGGCAAGCGTGAGGCCCATGCAGCCGGAACCACAGAGCTCTGGGGCTGGTGCCCATTTTCCACTGGAACCCGGATGGGAGTAAAGGGCCGGCTGTGCACTGAAGAACAGGAGAATGGGGTTGCTGGCTTCTGCGTGAAACTTAACATTCAGAAAAAGTAGGGCTGGGGATTTAGCTCAGTGGCACAGCGCCTGCCTGGCAAGCGCAAGGCTGTGAGTTCGATTCCCTGTACTGGAAAAAAAAAAAATTCAGAACAAGTTAAATAAGACAGAACGAGGCTCCCTGGGCAGCGTCACAGACCCACACTGGCCTCTGGGATTGGTGACAGCTGCTCTGCCTGCACTTTCCTCCTGTGCCAGCGAAGGGTGGACCCTTCCGGTGGGCACACCTGCTCCAGCAGCCCTCATCCAAGATTCCCTACCTTTGGGTTCCAGGCCATTAGAGTTAAAGTGCATCCTCTTCTGACACTCGGTGCAGCTCATCAGGAAGCGGGTCACAGCCTCTCTCGGGAGGAAGGCGTAGGTTTCTGCGATCTGGGGAGGAACCAGTTTGCACGTCATGTTGATCCGTGGGGAAAAATGGGTCACCCAGGTCTGTGCTTTGGTGGCAGGTACTGTGGCCCCTGCCAGGAGTGGCGAGGATTTGCGGAGTACGGGCAAATGTCACCTATTCTGAACTGTGAGAATGACCCAGTACTTTTGCAGAAAGCCATTTGTTTTAAAATTTTGAATACAGGAGATTAAAAATTGCAAAAGCAAAACATTTAAACATCACTTAATCTTTTTGGGGGGGGTCTTTTTGAGACAGGGTCTCCCTGTGTAGCCCAGGCTGGCCTCAAACTCTCAGCAATCCTCCTGCCTCAGCCTCCTGAGTGCTGGGACTGCAGGCATGCGCCACCACGCCCAGTTTCACATCACCTAGTCCTTGGCTTGTTCTAACAAGTAACATTCCTCTCAGAACATTTGAGTGCTGCCCCTGGAAAGTGAGCATCACTCTCTAGAGTAGAATGAGAGACGTTCCCTCTTGGAGATGGATAAACTGAGACCCACTTACAAATTGACTGGCTCTGGCTTATAAACAGAACCCAAGGTTAGGGAAGATCTGAGAAAGGCTGGCACCAGGGTGTCAGACATTTCAAAGTTTGTGGACTCCTAGGGATCCTTATGTTCCTGGTGACTCAGGCCCAGAGAGGTGAAACCACTCACCTGAGGCCACACAGCTCTTAAGAGGCAGTGCCCCAGGTCACTCAGAGGGAGAAGAAAGGGCTGGCAGGCAGGAGGGAAGGTAGAAATAGAAGGGAGGGGAAAGAGGAAAGGGCTGGGTGGGAGGGAGGAAGAATGGCCGTGGGCCAGAGGTCCAGCCTTCTCTCCTTGCCCTGGGTTTTGGGAAATTTGACAGCCCTGGCTGTTGCCTTTGGGGCCAAAGGGTCCCTGCAGCCCCAGGCTCCCGTGGCAGGTGTCACACATGCTTCCCGGAGCCCAGTCCTCCCACTCTTCTCCACTAAGGGGCAGCATCACCCAAGCATTCCCGTCCTCCCCGCAGCCTGGCTGGGAAAGTTGGCCGAGGGCTGGGACTGCTCTAGATGCGCTGGTCCTGCCTCCCCATGAACAGTGGACAGCACCGTCTCCTCCCAAGGGGGTGCGTGAATGCCTGCTCCCCCTCTGTGGTGGCCAGCAGGTGGGGGTGAGGACGTAGTAGGCCAGGAGTGCCCCAGGCTGTGGCCAGGCCTCAGAGCAGAAGCTCCTAGCTCAGCCTGCCTGTGGAGTTCCAGGGGCCACTCCTGCCCTCCACAAAGGCTAGTTAATTTTGGTGACACAATTGTTATTTCTCAGCTGATTTGATGCTCTGTGGAGGAGGCAGGCTCCTTGATGAGTTATCTCCCTTCCAAATTCCCTGTCTGATTGCCTTCCTCTGGAGGTCAGGGGCAAGGGCAAACTCCAGAGCCTCTGCCTGCAGCTAGTAGATGGGAGAACCTTTGTGTCGGGGCTGAGGGATGGGGGCTTTTCTGCCAGGCACAGGGACATCTTCTTCAGCCTAGGGTTGCTGGAAGTCTTGGCAGTGACTCGTTCTTAATGCACCTGCTGGGGGGAGACAGGCTTAGCTGGGCTGATGGCAGCAGGAGCAGGGGGCCAGGTGTGTGCAGGTAGGGAGGAAACCTGGGGCTGACTCTGGCCAACAGATGACCCCATGGACCTCCCTAAGACATAGTACCCCAGGGCAGGCCTCAGAGAGCTGAGCAGATGACTTGGGCAGGAGGGTGCCCAGTCAGCAGGGGAAGGAGGGCAAGGTTCACAGCAGAGGAGCAGCCCTGCCTGCCTGCCTGCCTGCCTGCCTGCTCGCTCACCTGCCTTGGGCCAGAGGTATTTTTAAAAGGTCCAAGGAAGGCCCCTGGCCTGGCTGTTCTGCTGAGGGCTTGGCCTGCTGAGGGCACGGAATGATCTCTCCAGGGATGGCTCTCCTGGCCTTGCCAGGGGCCCCAGAAGGGGACCAGAGCTGGTTGGCCTGCCATGCAGAGAGGGGCACTGGGCATGTACCTCCGGGGCTTGGGTCCCCCAGAGGCGTAGAAGAGGGTGAGCGAGCCACCCTCTGAGCTGGGGGTGTGGGGTGAGTGGGTGGGGGTGGGAGACCTGCTGGGCACAGCTGGAAGGGCACAGCTGGACTGCCTGCCTTGCTCTGCCACTTTAGGGACTGGTAGAAGGAGGATGTGTCCCCTTACCCCCATCTTTAAGGCATCTTTTGGTTCACCATCCTGGCTTGCCTTGCCCGGGACCAGAAACGGGACCTCTATTTCTATTTGAGTGTATGGATGCCCCAGGCCACAAGATGACTTGAAACTAGAAGGACAGTCCTCAAAGACACGCTCACCAATAGGACGGTGGTTTTCAAATGATCTCAGAGCTGCAGACCCTGTTCTAGAAATAGCTGCCCATGCTGAAGCCCAGCGCATGAAACAGATAAGGACAAAGTTACTGTGTCTAAGGAGAGGAAGCTCCAAGTCCCCTGTCCCCACCCAGCCTCTCCCAGCTGCCCAGGGCTGCCTATGGCCCTGCTCTCAGGGCCTCCTGCCTGGACACTGAGACCATTTGTGAATCTGCCTTCTCCATTTTTCTGAGTGGTAAAAACTGAGAAAGACTCTGGAAGCTATCTGCAGAATCTCTGGCCTGGAAGGCCCTGTGTTCACTACCCAACTCAGAGGCCGGCAAAGACAGATGAGGCCAATTGGGGGGATTTGCACCACTTTACAAGATCCTCCTTCTGCCCTGCGGTGGATTAGCATGTGGTGGGCCTGCAGCAGCTGCTGACCACATCTGGCCTCAACTCCAAAGTGGCCCTAGAACTCGATCTGGCCTCCCAGGACTTTGGGAGAGAAGAAGGAAGCAAAAGAGCGCACTCCAACCTCAGCAAACAGGAAAGCCCCTTGGAAAAAAGGACCAGCCCTATGTGTGGGTTCGGGGAACTTTGTAGAACTACCTGGAATCTTCCCCAGACTCAGCATTGGTGAGACACCCTGGGATCTTTGGAACCTCAGGTCACCCACATTAGAGGCTAAGACAAGGGCTTCCTCCTCAAAATCTGAATCTCCCTGCATTATCCAGGGTAAATAGCCATCTCCCCTCCCCCTACCCCAACTCAAATACCACGAGGTGGTTTTTCCCCACTGTAGGACTGATCTCCTTTAGTTCCATGAACACGTATGCCCATCTCTCTACCAGCACCCCCATCCCTACAGGAGCCCCAGGCTTGTAAGAATCTGAAAGCTCCCTATGTCCTCAAGACTTTAAGGCAGCCCCAGGATTCAGCTTTGGCAAGACACACAGGGACAGATCCAAAACCCCTTTTTCCCCAGGCTTCCTGCAAACACCGTGCTGCCAGGTTGTGCCTCTCTGCTGCCAGTAGCTTGGGTTATCTTGGGGGCTCTTGAAAAAAGCAAGGGCGGGGGGGGGTAGGCGGAGCAAGGCCCAGACATGTGAGTGGGTGAAAAGAGCAGTACAAAAGCATCCAGGAACTACCCCTGCCCCCCAAAAGGAAAAGGGTGGCATAAGAAGAGTGACAGATGGAAACGGGGGGAAGGGCGAGGAGGCACATGGTTGGGGTGCAGCCTCCTCGCCTCACACCCGCAGCGGGAGAGCCCTGGCCTGCTCAGCCCAGCCTTGGCCCTGATGCTGAAATTCCAGCTCTGTGCGCAGCCCAGCTGGCTCAATGCCAGTCATGTGCCAGCCCCAGGCTGGGCAGCAGGAAGTGGGGCACGCGGCAGGCATATGGACGAGAAGCCAGGAAGTACAGAGCAAAGGGTTGGATGTCCGCTTGGCCCAGGGATGCAAATGCCAGAGGGACAGCCCAGCCCTGTCTTGCCCTTCCCACAGCAGGGAGACCCAGGCCCTGAAAGCCTGCAGGAGAGGCTTGGTGCAGGCCACTGAGGGCTGGGGAAGTCACGTGGGCAGAGCCCATCTGCTGACCGAAGGAGGTCTGCAGAGCGGCAAGATGTGTACTGGTGAGGGCACAGGCTTGGGGCCAGCAGAGTGACCTGAGGCAGGTTGTGCGCTTCTGTGAGTCTCAGTCTCATCTCAACACACCTGCTTTGCACGTGCGACTTTCACATGTGTGAAGCACAGCAAGGTGGGCAGGGGAAATGCTGGATGCAGAGCTTGGCATGTGCTAAGTGCCCAGTGCCACTTAAAACTCAATGCTGGGAAAATGTGCTGGGTCTCACCAGTACCAAGGTCCCAGATCACCCCAGCCTCGCAGCCTTCCCTTTGGGCCCTCTGGTGGAACAATCCTCAACTCCTTTCCTGAGTCACTTCCTGAAGCACAGACCCTGAATGCGGGAGGGTGGGAGACAGGATGAGCATCTCCAGCTGCCCTCAGTGGGTTCCTCCCTCTCTGAGGCCCCAGGGCTGGTGTCTCTACTTATCCCCACTCAGGGTATGGCCATCACCTGCAGCCAAGGGCAACCAGACTGTTGGACTCTTTAAAAGTGAGGCCATGTGGGGAAATCATGAACTTACGTCACCTCCCCAGTAGTCCCTGGGAATCTATGGAAAGACCTGGGGACAGAGGCGAGGTCAGATCTGCCTTAGGCAGGGGATCTTGGGCTCAGAGGACCCATCCTTAGGCTTCTGAAGACAGTCAATGCAGAAGGGCTATGTGGATGCCAGGTGATTGCCACTCAGGTGCTGTGTGACCTTGGACAGGAGGCTCAGGTCTCTGGGTCTGTTTCTTTAACTGGGAGATGGGACCACAGGGTCCCAGTCCCGGGACAACTTCAAGGCTTGGAGGTATACAAAATAGTGAGCACTGCGGTGACGGTGACAAAGGGCTCAGAGCTGGTGGGGATGGGATCCAACACAGTGGGGCCCACCTGCAGACCAGAGGTAGGCCTCTGCTCTGACCACAGTCCCCTTGCTTCCCACCCCCGTCATTTGTGACGGTTCCCACTCTGTACTGCTGTCCCTGCTCCCTCCTGCCTACCCAAGACTCAGAAGGCTTACACACCACCTTCTTCACAAAGCCCTCCCCCAGCTTGGCACTAACGCAGGGGGTGGCAGTGCCTTTGCTGATGTCTTGGGTACCTGGGTTCTTGCTCTCTCAAAGCTGACCTTGAAGACACCTTTGCCTTTGTAGGTCTTGCTTTTGTCCCCTGCTTCCCCGCCCCAATCTAACTGTGACCTCCTACAGGGTGGGAAGCAGGTCCTCTGATTGCCCAGGACTCCCAGTATTGACATCCTTGTGGGGCTTGTGGGGAGCTGGATGAACCCGCACATAGCAAGCTGGAGGACAGGCCTGGCATGCAGTAAAAGCTGTGCCTTGGGAGCATTGGCACCCGTGATGCTTATTATCTGGCCCCCCCCCAGCAGGCTGCAAGGGGTTGGGGAGGGGATGAGGCAGAAACTGGGAAGAGGAGGGCTTCCTCCCTGCTCGTCCCTCTCCTTCCCTCCCTCTCACTCCCTTCAACCTGCTTCTCCTTTGTGCTCAGACCACAGGACCCGCCCCTCGCCCCGTGAGCCGTCTCTGGCTGCCATGCCCTTGCCCTGTGCCCCCCTGGGTCCCCAAAGGCCGTTTCATCACGCCTCAGCTCCCTGCCCCGCCCCCCGCCCAACATGTGCAGAGCCCGTGGCCTCCTGCCAAGGCCCGGGGCTGCCAGAGGAGGCAGAGACAGAAATCTCACCGCCCGGTAGGTTTTCTTCTGCCCGGCGTGCTTGGGGGCTTTGCCTGGCTCCGCGGAGCTCTCCACATGCATCGAGTAGATGATGTCAAAGAAATCTTCCACCACAGCAACCCGCTTCAGAGAGATGCCCTCGGGCTCCGACAGGCCATCTGCCCCCTGTGACAGGGTGGACAAGCTGTGTTAGTGTCAGGGCTGATGGTGCGGAGAGCTGGGCCCTGAGGCCCGGGCCACAGGTCGGGGGCCAGGGGTGGCGCTGCTCCCTGATCCAGCATGGCTTCCAAGGGGGGCTAGGGAGGGGGTACCCGAGGCAGGGTGGCTGCTGCTACTGAATCTACCAGCAACAATGGGCAGAGAACCATGACCACAAAAATACAAATCAAAAAACCAAGAGGCACCATATTCACAATTTCAGACAGATTGTGCCAGACTAGGGCGGGGAGCTCTTGAATCACACACTGTGCCAAGACCATCCTGGGAGTCTCTGGGGAGCGGGGGGTGCTAAATAGATGCAGCCCCATCAGGAGCTCACCAATTAGCAGTAACCTTTCACTGTGGTCCTGGGCTGGGATCCCAGGGGACCAGCTCCCATCACCTGGGTGACTCCTGCCTCCACCCTGGCCTTTCTGCAAAGCTTTTCACCACTGCCCGCCCTCCCTACTCCAGCAGCTGAGCAGCAGCCACAGCCCCCAGGCTCTTTGTGTGTGGAGATGCACAGAATAACAGGCACGAGGCCATGTGGAGGTGGCAGGGCTGGGAGTGAGGTGGTCATGGGTCCCCAGTCTCTTATCAGGCTGGCAGCAGTGCTGTCAGCTGGCCTGGACAAGGTGTGCCAGGATCCAGACGCGTCCCTGAGAGCCAACAGCTGCTGGGCTGGCGCCTGCCCTCCCCACCCACAGAAGGGGCTGCAGGAAAAGCTCCAGGGCATGATGTGGGGCGAGGCCAGTACTCCAGGACACAGCTCCTGATTCCCAGGGCCTGAGATGCACAGACCAAGGGACTCCCAAGGGCTCAGACATCATCTCCCTCCGGGAGACTGGGAGGGCTCTAGGCAGCTTCAGAGATCAAGAACAAGCAGTGCAGAGGGGATGTAGGGAAAAGAGGCAGGCTTTTCTCTAAAAATGCCAAGAGACACGTCACCAAGGTAATTCCTGCCCAGAAGCACCCCACCAGAGGACCGATGTGGGCTTCATCCGTTCCCTCCATCTGTCTCTCCCGCACCTCAAACAATGCATGACATGTAATAGGTGTTCAAGAAATAACTACTGAATGAGAGGTTGGTTATAAGTGGCAGCTGGGCCGGGCAGTTTAGACACACTCTGTCCCATCTTTTAAGTGACGTGTGACCCTGAGGAGTGTTATCTTGTTTCCCTGGGCCTCAGGACCTTCGTCTATAAAATGGAGATAAAGAAGCCCCTTTCCCATGAGCTGCGGAGAGAGAGGGTGCTGTACTTTGCACCACGCCTGGCACACTGGGACTGTTCCGTAAACACTGCTATTAAGAAGTACTTGCAGGACTAGTGGTAGAGTGCTTGCCTAGAAAGCCTGAGGCCCTGGGTTTAATCTCCAGCACCACACATACACACACGAAAGGCTTTGCAGCTAGCCAAGCTTCCCCAGGTATAATATAGCTAAACATTGCCACAATCCTGGGAGGTTGTTAGGGCCTGGGCCTGCCTGGGAAAGTAGCTGAGAAGTTGCTTAGAACCTCAGGCTGTGTAGTCCAAGTAGCATACAGGCCCTCCTGGCATGGGACACCCACTCACAACACATTCTGGCCACAGACAGGGTTTGGTTTTATCCATCAGCTTTTGTAACATGCGGTGATCGGTGAGCAGAGGTGTCTCATTGCCCCAGGCCTGTGTGACAGCAGAGAGCAGATGGGGGAAGAAGGGCGGCTGGGTGTCTGGGGTATGGGGTGCTGACCCTACAGCTAGTGGGAAGTGTTCCTACATGGTGACCCTGAGCAGCTCTTGTGCCAGCCCTGTACAAGCCTTCTTGCAATGACTCCCTTCTTGGTCAGGACCCATTTCAGTGGGGCTTGCATAGATAGCAGGTATCTGTGTTTGTGGGTGTGTGCGCCTGCGTGTGTATGTACGTGGAGGGAAGCTGCCTGCTATCCAACTTCCTTGATCTGGGCAAATTCTTCAACTTCCTTGAGCTTCACTTATGGGACAGGTAATACTCTACAACTTCTCAGTTTTAAACTCTCAGGAGTTACTTTTACCTCTTTCTTGAGGGACCCCCTCACTGAAGTCCTAAGCCTCCTGAAAAGGCTCATCAGTGACTAGCTATCCATTAGCTGGTTTGTCACTACCCAGCAGTTTGGGGATCTTCAGATACTGCTGTGACAGAGTTGAGAAGGGAGCCATACTACAATCGCTCAGTTACAGTACGCGTCTAGCAGCGTTCACATTCGCAAAAACAAAGGAACTTTGAGAATGAGGATAACTGGGTTTCTATTTCTTAGTCCATGTGTGGGCTGGGGACTTATCTCAGCGGCAAAGCGCCTGCCTGGCAAGCGCAAGGTTGTGAGTTCGGTTCCTGGTACCGGAGAAAAACCAAAAAAAAAAAAAAACAATGGTTCTTAGTCCATGTGTGATTATACACACATGTTCAGTTTATAAAAAGCCATTAAATTGGATTTTTTTTTTTTTTTTTTTACTTTTTTTTGGTCTTTTTGAGGCAGGGTCTCACTATGCAGCTCAGGCTGGCCTTGAGCTCATTTTGTAGCCCAGGCTGGTCTTGAACTCGCAACGATCCTCCTGCCTCAGCCTCCCAAGTGCTGGGATGACAGGTGTGCACCACCACGCCCAGCTTAAAGCCATTAAATCGAACACTTACAACCTGTGTGCTTTTCTGTATATCAACTTTAATTTTTTTAATGTGAACTTTTTTAGAAAGTATAAAAGGATGGGTTCCACATTTTGATGATCTGAAATGCAGAAGCACAATGATAGGGTTAGCAGATCAAAAGCAAACAGATCTCTGCTCATAAAATTACTTTAGGCCAGAACACAGCTATTTCTGAAAAAAGGAAGATGTAATTTGGTGGGATGGAATGAAGAAGACAATTCAAAGAAGAGACGTTTTAGAGAAACAAAATAAAAAAAAAAAAAAGGAATAAAAAAAGAGAAGCAAGATGAGAAGCGCCTTCTGCCCAGCATAATGAGCCGTGGTGAGTTACTTTACCTCTTTACTCCTTACTCAGCCTCTCCACCTGTGAAATGGGCCTATAAAGTCTTACTTGGACCTCCCAAGGATCAAGTAAGAATATGTGTCAGACATCTGGCACATACAGGTTTGGTAAATGTCTATCTCTTCCTTTTGGACCCCAGAGTTTGGGCATTTTGTGTTTAGGAATCTGTTCTTATCTCCTGTCCCTCTGATCCATTCAGGTTACAAAATAGGTCCTGGGGGAATGCCTACCATCAGAAAGAGATACATAATCTTAACTGATTTTTTAAATAATATACTAAGGCTGTGCTACAAGCTTGGACTAAGCTTTGCTAAATTCAAAGTGTAACTAACTGACCCAGATAAAACAGTGACATATGCTACAGAGTGCCTGGCCTGTCTGTCCCACCCTTGTCCTGTTCCCCCACCTCCATCCTTAGGCAGACGTGGGTAAACAGCAGCTTTGTACCTGATCTAACGTGACAAAACAATTACCCCAGAGAAACTCTTTGGGGGGCAATTATGGGTAACTGTCTCTTTAAAAATGGATTGCTATTTCCCCTGATGTTCAAACTTGGGTCCTGTAATCTGCCTAGCTCTACCGCAGATGTACACAGGAAGGAGGGGGCCTGCAACAACCAGAGTTTCAACCACATAGAACCTGCAGAGCTGCACTGTCCTCTGGCGAGCTGTGGACACCTGGACACTGTGCATGTAACACCCTAAGGGAAGAACACCAGGATATCTACATGGGCTACAAGGAGAACCTTGGAAAGGTGGTAACAAAGGGATGTGACAGTAGTCATGTGCCATGGATGTCTGCCATGCCCTGCATTCACAGAGGTAATAACCTTCATAGTAAATGCTACAGGAGAGGCATGCTTTCCCTGGCTGAGAATGCAGACAGCGCTACAAGGACAGAGCTGCTAATCAAAGGAGCACAAAGCACCTTCCCCATAGCCTTGGATACCCCTGCCCACCCCCTTGTGCTTCGAACCCAAATGTGCTTCATCTAATCCAGTGCTCTAAGTAAGTGTACACTGGTTTGGCCGAGGGAGTTCAGTTTATATATAGGACTGGACCAAGAAGGGACTGGAATCTCTTGACCATCCTAGCTTCCCCAAAATGCCCAGCAGGAAGGATGGAACAGAATCCTGTAGTACCTCATGGGAAAAGACATGAAAACACGGACACTTGGACAGGATGGGCCTCTGGGGCCATCCTCTGTGAGGAAGAACATTGCCATGGTAACACTGTGCATCCATTTGAACCATTCAACTCCAAAACAGCCGCTCAGATCCAGGCCAGTGAAACCAGACATGGATATAGTTTAAAAAATTTATGGAGCTACTAACTTTCCTGGACATTGCCAACTCTCTTAAAATCAGCCCATTTGAATACTGAATTGAAGGCAGAGTTGCAAGTCATTTAGGAAATCACCAAATGTCTACTTAAATATTGCTGATATTTCCAAATATTTATAACAGTAGTCCTCAACGTGTAGGCCTTAGACCAGCCAGCAGTATCAGCACTGTTTAGGAATTTATTTAAAATGCAAAATTTAAAATTCTGCCTCAAGACTAACAAATCTGATGCTCCGGGGGTTTTTAACAGTGTCACCCCCCCCTCCCCATGATTCCAATGCAAGAGATTCTGAGAACCGCTGATTGGAATATGTCTGACTGAGAAGGGGTGGGGGGGACCAGTCAGGAAACTATCACTGGCTCATTAAATATAGACATGCTCTGTGCTTCCAGGCCTAATACATTAAAATTTTCATTTCTAGTGAAAGCCAGTTTTCTTAATAGTGAGAATAAAATAATTTTATTGGGCAACATTGTATAAATTCCAGACCTCTACCCAGAGACTTGATGTAGATTATGGATGGAGGAGGCAGGAGCCCCCTGCATTCTGATACTGGATTTTCATGTCCTGTCTGGCAAAGTTAATTAATAACTGAGAAGGTCATCCCTTAGGCAGGTCTTTTCTAATTTCCTCAGTTTCTTCAAATGATCTGAGCAATCAGACAAGGAGAGTGCCACGTCCAGGCCTGCAAACCAGTGAGAGGATCGGCAGTCCTACCAGGCCATTAGACAGGCTCCTGCCAGGGTGGCCTTGCGAGCTGCTGTTGGGAGTCACCCCTCAGGCAGGCTCCTGCATCTGACAGAATCTTGCCTGTCTCCCCACAGAAGCCAATTAAATGAGCCCCTTCCCTGGATGGCGAGTGCAGTCCAGTTGGTAACGCACTATGGCTCTGTCATCTCCACTGGAACTTTGAAGTCACTTGCTGGTAATACAATACATACTTCTCAAGGTGGGCTCACCATTTTAGGCCACCAACGTGCCACTTAGGGGCCCCCCACCATATTAGTGGAATATGCCTCCCACCAACAACGAGGCTATGACTGAGAGGCTACAGCTACTGGTGGAACCATTCTTCAGCTGGGTTCCTCCTATGGTAGAGAAAGTCCCTGGCATAGGCCCTCTTGGTGCATTTCAGACTCAGCTCTTGACAAGGCACGTTAGAAGAAAGAGCCCTCCTCAGGGAAATAAAACTTTGGCACCACTTGCGTGGGAGCCCAGGACTCCGAGGGGTGGCTGTTCTGGCAAATGTGAGGATGCCAGTCCATCCCACCCAGGCCAGTCAGAGGTGGCTGAGATTACAGGCAATAGTGATGGCACACTCTATTGGTGTGCCCCTCCCAGCCTCTGCTCTTTCTTCCCCAAACCCTGCTTTAATACGCTGAGCTAGGACTGGGATTTTGGAAGTGTGGGGGGCAGTCCAAACAGTCTCACTCAGTGGGCAGGGCTGAAAGAAGATCTACGAAGGAGGGGTCAGCCCTCTGCAAAGTGGGCCTAGAGGGAAAGGAAAGAGGTGGAGAGGAAACTTCAAAACCACATGAGAGCCCAACGTGGTGGCATATGCCTGTAATCCCAGCACTTGGGAGGCTGAGGCAGGGGGATCCTTGCAAGTTGGAGACAAGCCTGAGCTACAAAGTGAGCTCAAGGCCAGCCTGAACTGCATAGTGAGACCCTGTTTCAAAAGACAGAAACAGGGCGGGGGATGTAGCTCAGTGGCAGAAGCGCCTGCCTGGCAAGCACAACATCCTGAGTTCGATTCCTGGTACCAAAAAAAAAAAAAAGACAAAAACAAACAAACAAAAAAACACATGAAACCAAGAAAGCTGAAAGAAAAGCAGAATGAAGAGCATCCAGGAAGTCTCTCCTCTGAAATCCCAGGAGAAGATGGTCATGATTTGTAAAGGGCAATCGAATGACTGGGAAGGGTATTGCTTAAATAGGACAATGACAGTATTTTAATTTGTCTTGCCTTGAATACTACCCACTGTGGACTGGAACACACACACACACACACACACACCCCTCCAAAATAAGGATTCACACTGGAATTTTATGGCCCACAGTTCCATTGAGTTCTGCAGGCCTGGATGGGGCAGAGGGAAGAGACCTCCGCCAATAAATAAATACAAAAACAAGGGGCTGTGGACTAAATGTAGCACCTGCCTCTTCTCTACCCTTGTGCTCAATCTCCAACTGTTAGTGTGGAGCTGCTGCCACCACCAAGTTGCACCTGCCATCTGGAACTGCCTCACATATTCCAAGACCTCCTTTCTGCTTCGCTGAACCTCCATCTTCTTTCAAATCACACTGGGGACCAAAACGCCCATCCTGGGACCCAGGAAAAGGTGCCGGGGACCAGCCCCCAACAAGAGTGCTACCGCTGAGAGATGCCTCAAGCAGCTCCAAGAAGCTGTGCCCCCCCCTTCCTTTTTTTCTCTTTCTCTCCCTTTTGTTAATCTGGGGTATCTGGAATAGATGCACAGGGAAAGCATAGGAAGAGAAAGGGGTCCAGGGCGCCAAAGTGTCCCCCTATGGGAAGGCAAGGGGCTAGGCAAGTGCAAATGTTCTGACAGTGACAGAATGGATGGAGGCACTCTCCAGCCTTCCCTGTTAGAGGGGACAGGGACAAGGCCTGGCAGCTGGATTCTGGCCCGGGAATACCAGGATGCCCAGAAAGGTTTTCTAAAGGTGAGAGCCCTAAGGGCAGTCCAGCCCTGACCTTAAGAAGGGACAGGGTTCCTGCCTGGGCCTCAGTTTCCTCTTGTGTGAGGTGACACCCTATGCACAATGGCTTTTGCTACCTTACAGGATGGCTGCGGGAACCTGAGTCATGCATAAATACATCCACCCTAGGTGAGACACTCCTAAGTGACCACTGCAGAGGGGCGCTCTCCAGGACTCTGGGACCAGCCTCCCCGAGTCATCCGCCTGGGCCAGGGATCCGGCTCTCAGAAGGGGTTCTAGGCAGAAGGGGGCGGCCCAGAGCCAGATCCACCTGGCGGGCGGGTCCCTCAGGGCCGGGCCGGAGCGAGCAGCCTGGGTGCGCTAACGAGCCGGAGGCCCAGGTGCGGGCCCCACCCCGGGTAGGTGGGGGAGGGGCGCGGCCCGTGCGCTAATGACTGTTGACAGCGCGCGCTAGGGCTGGCCCGGCCGCGCGCGCTGAAGACAGCTGCTCGGGCGGGGGGGCGGGGCGCGGGGCGGGGGCTGCGCTGCTCGGGCTCCCCCCATGGCGCACGCGCGTGCGCCCCGAAAGGGAGGGGCGGGGAGTCGCGCGCGCGCGCCGGCCCGGGTTCGGAGGGCCTGCTGGAGCGGCTCGCGCGGGCTCCTCGCGGGCAGGCAGGTAATGAGAGTAACCATGGCAACCCACCAGAGGAAGTGTATTCTGCAGGAGACGTTAATCCCCTCTCCCCGGAGCTGGGACAGCCTGACTTTCCATTCTCACACAGTAATTAGATACCAGCTGTCAGTGCAGGGGGGACGGCTCCGCCGCGGCTGCCCAGCTAGGGGGGTGCGCACAAAGGGGGTGGGGGGAACTCAGGGAGGAGGGCGTTAAAGACACAGGGACGCTCTGCGGCGGCGGGTCGCGGCGGCACGCCCCACATCCCCCAGTCTCTGGAGACTGCTCGCTCACCTGGAGACCCCGCCCGCGCGGGGCCCCGCCCACCCCATGCGCACCTGCTGCGCGCGCCTCCCACCCTCGCGTTCCCCCTGCGGGCCCCGCCTCCTCGCTCCCGACGCACCTGCCCTGCTCCGCCCCCCGGACGCTGCCCACCTGTCCTTTGTGCTGGGCGGTACCATGCGATCTTGCCAAGCTCGCCTTCTGGGAGCGCCCGCTATGTGCCAGGCGCTGTGCCAAACCTGATCTCGTGTAATCCTCACAGGCCCTCTGCAGGAGGCGCCTCTGCTGCTGCAGGTCCAAGGCACAGCAGGGTGTGGCCATTTGCCCAGGGTCATACAGACTTGAACCCCCATCCTTGCACCCCTTTAACCGCACGCTATAGCGCCTCCTCATCGAGTCCACATCCGTTATTGCTGGAGGGGGGGATGGCTCCCAACCACTCTGGGGAGCAAATCAGTCTTACTGGTTTGTGGTGCACCTACTGTGTGCCAAACATTCAGTGCCTCATTTCACTTTCCTGCCAGCTCTGAGAGACTTACTACCCCATCAGCTGAAGCAGTGTGCCTACAGTCACCAGGTACAAAGTGGCAGAACTGGGATTCAAGCCAGGCAGTTAGACCTCGGCCCATCTCCCGGTTAGGGGGATCTCTATTAACCCCACCCCTGGATTGTGGTGGCTGAAATGCAGCCTGGGGCTTTTCCTTCTTTCCTCTGTTCAGCCCAACCTTGTACTGTCTCAGCATCCTTAGAAGCAGCCTCTCCAAACCATACCTGAGAAATCTAAGAGGTTTCCAGGCCTAAAGCCACTGCCACACCCCTAGTATGTGTTCAGCCTCCCAGAAACCCTTGCTCTCAGGGCAGGCAGACCCTTGGAGGTCCTTCTCTGCCCATGTCTACTTTTCACAAATAGGAAAACCAAGACCACCAAGGTAAGAAGTAGGTCCGTGGGGAGATGGCCTGGTGAAAGCCTGGCCGTGCCCGCCCACACAATCAGCTAGGGGTACACACCAAGGAGAGCCAGGAAGTACAAAGAAGCAGAGCCAGCCCACTGGCAGTGGGTGTCTGGGGCAGGAGGAGGCTATCTGATCCCTTCCCCACTGCCCCGGCCATGACCTCTTCCCTCCCTCTCTCCCTCCCCCTCCCTCTTCCCTCATGGCTGGGGTAGCCAGCACCCCAGCTGCAGCTGAGAACCCAGTGTTCCCCAACCTAGCTCTGCCTGGCCCACATTCCAGTGGGAGGAGGGGTGAGGGGAGGCTGGGTGGAGAGCTTTAGGGACAGGGACACCCCTGGGACTGCCCCACCCTGCACGGGCCAAAGCCTGGCTTCCTCCAGCCTCACCGTTTCCTGCCTCTGCTCTCCCCATCTCTCAGTAGCAGAGCAGCCTAAATTTGGCTCGAGGAGGGAATGGGGGAGGTGGCGGCAGGCGGGTGCTGTCAGAGGCCAGGGCGTAGCTCCTGTCTAGCCGGCTGGCATTTTTGCTGTCTGGAGGAGGGCAGGGGGCCCCGGCAGGCAGCCCTCTCCCGGAAAGGGAGATGTTCGTACCTCCTGACATGCATTGAGTAATGTGCAAACGACATGCAAACCGAGCTTCAAATCAGCATCTCAGCCAGGGAACAGCTTGGTGCTGCCTGTGGATGAGAGCAGGACCAGCAGTCCGCTCCTGATGGGTGGGGCACAGGGTATCCAGGGCTGGGCCTTGAAAGACTTGGGTTCTTCACAGCTGTGGGACTCCATTTCCCTGTCTGGACTCTCCGGGTCTTGGCCCCAAGGGCAGGGCTGTGGCTTTCTGTGCCTGCTCTGGCCGGGCTGGGCACTCCTTGACTGGATAAGCCTGAGTTCTGCAGTCACCTGCCCAGGTCTGAATGCTGCTCTCCACTGGCCAGCTAGGTAAATCCTCAAGAGAGCACCCAGGCAAACGGCTAGTGGGACTGGGTGTCCCTTTTAGGACAGCCACTTCCTTTCTCTAGAAGTCAGACACAGGGACACAACCTGAAAGAACCTGGGCTTCAGAATAAGACCAGGTCTGGCTCACCCAATGAGGCTTTCTGGGTTCACTCCCCACATCTGGGAAATAGGTTGGGGATCTCAGGGTCCTCTGTGATGTTCATGTGACAGTCTTGCACACAGAAGGAACACCACAAGTCTGCACACTGCCAAGTTCCTCTCCCCAGTCTCTCTGCCCTGTTCCCTCCTTTCCTCTTTGCTCCTCTCTCTTGGTTTCACTCTTGTCTCTGTACAGGTGTGAATTTCTCAGTCTCCTCTCTTTTCCCCACTTATCTTGGTGACCTTGGACAAGTCACTGACTCTAAAGAGTCTCAGCCTGCACATTTGCTAAAGGGGGGCAATGAAACGTGGATGAGGAGCTCTGGGCCTCTGGACCCTATAGGCACTTGATGGGAGGCAGCTTTCTTCACACAGCCCACTACCACCATCCCAAATCCCAGGAGGAGTGGGCTGTGCCCTCAACTCTATTGGCTCTGAGGTATTGGGGCCCTGCTTCTCAGTAACTCTGTTTAACCCTAGATAACTGTTCCCTGCCCCTCAGCTGGGGCTGATATGAGCTGAATCCAACTTCCTGCCACCCAAAAGCCACTTCCTGTCAAACTCGAGCTGATACTAGAAGAACTTGTTTTCTGTGCACAGAGCAATCCCATCAGCCTGCCCTGGGTGTGAACATTTTTCTTTCTTCCAGTCAGCATGGCCAGGGCTGGGCAGGGGAGGATGGGGACTCTGCCTGTCTCATCTGTGCACTTGCTTGTCCTGCGCAGAGGCAGCCTCCGGCCCCACCAGCTATCCCAGGAAGGGTGCCAGGTGTCCCTCTGAACCCAGGTGGAAGTGTACAGCCCATGACACAGGGTCTCACACAGCCACACAGTCAGATGGAGCCCCTTCAGCTACTGGGTATGTAGGGTAGGTACTCAGGGAGACATGTGTGGGTGTCACACAGTTACAGTCAGACTCACATACAGAGACACGCAGCATCATGATCACATATACAACCGTACTCAGTCATGGGACAGTCTTACACATGGTGATGTGCAGTCATACTAGAGCCCCACAAAGGACACATGGTCTTAGAGTCACCTGCTCCTGCACCTGCACGCAGACTAGACTCTTTCACCCTGCTCCCTACCCTTGCCTCAAACTCCCTACCAGGTGTAATCACCAGGTGGGTCAACAAGTACTGGGGGTCTGCTCTGTGCCAGGCTGGGGGCTCATACACAGTAAGAACTGTGGGAGTCATGTCAAGTGATTAGCAGACCCTGTGCTCCTTCTGTTCCCTCCTCCGTGGAATGGGGTGGGCCTAGGCCCAGTGGGTGCTGGGAAGACGGGAGCTGGTGCACGCCAAGCTGCTGGCCGGCCTGTGCACACCAGTCCTCAGTGAGGCTATCTAGTTAGCCAGGAGCCTGTGTGCCCTGCTCCACGCTGAGCATCGGAACACAGCACCTCTCGAGTGCCTCCCAAACCCCAAGTGGCTGGGGCTGCTGCCCGCATTTTACAGATGGGGGAGCAGGCTCAGAGAGGCGCACACAGGCCAGAGGGGCCCACTGATCTCTCCGTCCGTTCTCTCACACTGCTGCCACAGCCTGCCTCACTGCCCCTCCACTTGCACACACTGTTCCCTGCCCTCCCACTTGCATTTGTTGTGGCCGCCTCCTTCTGAGCTGCCTTCTTACCCGCCTTACTCAGCTCCTCCCAACAGCCCGTGGCCACCCATTTACTTCTCGTAGAGCATTTATCACTCATGAAACATGGCACTTGAAGGGCCAAGAGTAAGTACCATTTTGTCCTGTTCTTTGGCACATAGTAGGTGTGAATTAATAGAATAAACACAGTAGCCTTTTGGCTACTGAGGATAGAGTCCAGAGTTGAGCCCAGGATACTGTGGGGATGGGGCTCATGTGTGCTACTGTGCTGCTCACCAGCAGCCCCTTAAGGGCATGTGAATGAATGGGGGAACCCAAGAGTGCAGGACCTCAGCCCAGTGACCCCTGGGCTAACCATTTCCTAGCAGTGTGGACAGGAGCCAAGCCCCAGGCACCCTGGATGGTGGCAGGGCCAACAGACTGCCTAAAGCCGGCTGTCAGGAGCTCGTCTGGCCAGAGCCACCAGCAGGGGAGACCAGCTGGCGGTGCAGGGTCCCTGGGCCCAGGCCTGGAATCTGAGACGCCCTCAGAGGCCCAGCTTCTCTTTGGGCCCCCACACACTGGCCTTTGTTCCCCAGGCCGGCCAAGACCCAGCAGCTTGGGCTTTTTCCTGCCTGCGGCACCAGCGCTGAGCTAGCGGGGGTAAATGGGCCAGCCTCCCCTCTGTCCATGCCCAGAACGTCGCTTCAGGACTAAATGGAGATGTAATTTTCTATACAAATCCATGACAATTTAGATGGAGTGATTGTAATTGGCTTTTCAATGGGGGTTTTGTCCAGCACTGGTGGCTAGAACTGGGTGGCCTGTTTGAGGCAGGCTCCATTTAAATGACAATAAAGCAATAATATTGAGGACTTGTACAGTGCCCAGTGCCCCTCCTGAGCCCTCATGGAGCCTCATGTTTATGGATCTGGTCCTTCACTGGGGTTGTCTGGACCACAAGGTGGTGGGGGTCACAGAGCCCGGAAGAGGGGTGGCTGCACCTTTGGGCTTCTAGACACAGGAGTTCCAGACAGCTGGGGCAAGGGCCATGTCCATGGGCTTACCTGCTCACCACACACTCACCAACCAGGGCCTCTGCGGGCCACTGCTGGTCCAGGGGCAAGGACTGAGATAAAAGGGACTCTTGGGCAGGGCAGAGAGAATGCCATGGCTCCTGCAGCACAGTGTGTGAGGAGGGTGTGACCAGGCCCAAATCCCACTCCAACTCCAGTAGCTTCCTGTGCTTCAGTGGTTATTTCACCTCCCACTGCCTCAGTTTCCCCAGGCCTAAAAGGGAACTGCAGTAGAAAATGTGATGAGGACAGAGCACTTTACTAGGGCTCAGCCTAGTACCTGGCATGTGGCAGGTGCTATATTCATTAAAAGTGCTGTTATTTATTAAAAGCCCCAGCTCTGGTGGCAGACTGGCTGGGTGACCTTGAGCACGTGACTTAGCTATTGCAAACCTCTACTGGCTTCTCTTTAAAACAGGGCCTTTTAGAGAACTGACCACCCAGAGTGGTGAGGATTTAAGGAAAGGCTGGGTGCCGTCAGTGTAGCTGTTACTGTGGCACTCTTGGGAGCGAGGCCAGGTGTGGGGCTGTGTGAAGGAAGGCATCACAGAGGAGGTGACATTAGACGGGCCTTGGAGGGTGAGCGGCATTTTGCCAACAGAAAGGGCAAAGCCAGTGGTGAGCACTTGGTGCCTCCTGAAGCAGTGACTCACACCTGCCAGGGTCTGGATGGCCCGGAGCCGGCTGAGGG